CGAGGGGGCACAGCCGGGTCTGGGGAAAGTAGGGGGACAGACCGTTGACGCTTTGTCTCCCCACGTGTCCCCCCCAGTCGTCGGGGGACTTGGAGAACGACGAGCGAGCAGCCACCGTCCTCTGGAGCTGGTGGCCAGGGCCAGCAGGCTGCAGGTCCAGTGCGGCCACGAGCCGCCCTTCAAGCACCTCTCAGGTGATCCCCCAAAGTGTCTCTGGGGCGGGAGTGTCCCCAGTGTCCCCGCAGTGGTGTTGGGGGAACACTTGCTCCTCGTCACTGTCTCGGGACAGAAGCTCTTTGTGGTGAAGCGCCAGAACCACGTCCAGGAGCCTGACACTGTCTGACGCACCACCAGTGTCACCATCTGATGCATCCCCAGTGTCACCGTGAGGGACGCCAGTCCCCTCCATCCCCACAGTGTCAGCCCGGGGGGGAAACACTGTCTCTGCTGTCCCCAGAGCCCCGCAGTGACACCCCCTCGCATCCCTGTCACCTCCAGGGCTTCAGGGACTGGCTCTTCCATGTTACCAAGGCCACAGTGTCCCCCCCACCATGCTTGGGGACACCACCCTGTCACCTCACCCCTGCTGAGACAATAAATTAGGTCCTTTCTGGCTTTTTTGGGGGGTTTCCCCTGTGACACCCCAAGTCCCCTCCTGCCCCCCCAGGTGACAGCTGTGTCCCCAAGTCCAAGCAGCGCTCTACTGGCACGCACACGGGTGGCAGTAGCACAGAGGCAAATAAATAAGGGGGAGGGGGGGACAGAAGTGCCACCCCGTGTCACCAGGCGCAGTGAGATCCCTGTCCACAGCAGCGTGTGGGGGGTCGCAGTGCCACACCCTGGCCTTTTACCCGCCCCCAAGCAGCCGAATTTGAGGACACGCAGGGATCAGGATGTCCCCCTGCCACCCCCCATGTCCCCAGAGCATTGTCACCCCAAGGCTGGGGACAACGCTGTCACCCACAGCTTGGGGACAATCCCATTCCCCCCATGGCACCAGTCCCAGGTCCAGCGTCTCCCAGGGGTCTGGGGACACATCCCTGTCCCCACCCCACCATGTCAGCCCTCCCCAAACTCATCCCCTTCAAGGGCGGTGTCCGGGGCCATCCCAGATGATGTCCCCAATGGCCCCAAGGATGTCACTTGGCAGGTTCCACCACCAGGGCCTTACACACACGATTGGCGATCTTGTCCAGGGCCAGCGCCAT